CGCATATGCACGTGTTTTTGAGTGAGTAAGTGTATAGCCTGCCTGATATACATATGAAATGAAACAAATGAATAAAGTTTTAATTTAATTTAAATCAGATAAAAATGTAATTAAATAATAAACAAACAGGCAAACAAACAAACAATGAAACAAACAAACTATCAAATCGACAAACAATACAAACAAACCAGCAGACAGACAAAAACAGACTAACAAGAAAAAAATTAGTGTTTGTGCGTGTGTGTTTGTGTGTGTGTGTGTGTGTGTGCGTGTGGTGTGATATAGACACAGGAAATGATGAAATGAAAGGAATAAAATAAACCAAAATTTTATTTAAAACCATCCGGTTAAAAATATATTTAAATAATTAACTCCAACACTAAGCTTATCTATGGAAACTGTGTGAATGACTGGATGGATGAACAAACGAACGAACGAATGAATGAATGAATGGTTGAACGAACGAACGAATGAATGAACGAACAAACGACCAAATGAATGAATGAACGGATAAATGAATGAGCGAACGAATGAATGAATAAATGAATGAGTATATAAATATATATAGACATACACCAACATTTACATGTACATATATAAATTTTAAAATTGTTCAAGTAAGAAGCGGTGGCAAGTAAATTTGGAATTCATAACGACAAATATGTACATACGCAGGCATACAAATATCTAAAATAATTTTTTAAATAATAAATCTATTTAATAATTAAATAAAAATATTATTAATTGCGTGTGTACGTTATCCGGTTTTCAAACTAAACGAGCCAATCAGGAAGTTAGGGTGGCGTTCCTTAATTTCCTACTAGTATAGAATTCATTCTAGTATAGTTAATATATTGTTGTTAAGCACCTATAATAATGTTTCATATACATTAAATAAAGTTTTTTAATGATGTCAATGATTGAAATGATAAGAATATATGAATGGAACTGGTATAAATAGGAGCCGAAAATGCGTTGAAATCCGACCGGGCACTTTAGGGCATTCCCTTAGCGCCTGGTCCCTTTTTTTTATTTCTTGATTTTAGTTAAGTTATTTATTATTTCTAGACGTGTTCGTTACTTATTATTTCTAGATTTATTCGTTTATTTTATTCGTTACATATTATTTCTAGATTTATTCGTATGTTTTATT